GCTGAGGTTAATTGGTGATTGTAAATTGTCCGTAGGTGTGAATGTGAGTGTGCTTGGTTGTCTGTCTCTAAGTCTCTATTACATGTGTAACTGGGTGCAGCCCTCACCCCGTCATACGTCAGCTGGCCTTCTGACTGTCCTGCTCTTTACATGTCTGTGTTGTAGGGTTGTGTTTACCTGTTGAGTGGCGTGTGTGTGTGTGTGTGTGTGTGTGTGCAGTGACTTTATTAACGTTATCAGAATCTCATCACAGCTATCGGGTTGCTTTCTGTGTCATGAGCAGCTATATTTCAACAAAGTGGGTTTTGGCTGTTGGCGTCTCTCGTAACAGAAGCCGTGGATGGAAGTGGAGAATCAAAGAGAGGATGAAAAGATGAATGAGGGACACATCAGTGTGTATTGTGTGCAGTGTGTCTGGCTCAGAGACGAGACGCCAGGTCAGTCTGCCAGCACACACACACACACACACACACACACACGCGCACACACGCACACACACACACACACACACACGCGCACACACACAGCGTGATGGTGTCTGAGGCACAGGTAACCCTACACCTGCAGAGGAGGGTCAGTGGGCGTCCATGAAAGCCTCGGCCAAGCTTAGGAAGGTAGTGGAGAGGGCAGAGGATGGTGTGTGTGTGCATCGGTGTTTTGGAGTGAAGGTGTGTGTTTTTGAAGTGTGTGCTGGGAGGAGATCAAGGCAAACACTGCAGTGTGACTGCAGAGGTGCCGAGCGGTGGTGGATCAGAGCCTGTGCCTCACGGCTACAGCAGCAAGGATAACATTCTCAAAGGTTCCAATTATCTGATTGTGTGTAACGATGTTTTTGTCTGAAGCTGTGATCATCAGCACAACCCACTGCTCCACCTGCAGTATGCGGGGTTAGGGTCAGTCAGTGAGGACTTTGAGCCAGAATGCAGTTTTCAGTCAAGATGAACACTTTCAGAAACGTCTGGGGCAACATGTAGTATTGTGCTCAAAGGGCAGTGGAAGGTGAAGCAGTGCATTCGCGTTATTTATTTATGGTTTTTCACCCGTGTGCCTCAAATCCAGTCTGTGCGGTTTCAGTTCTTACCTGAGTACATTTTGTGGACAGCACCGGCTGTGATGTTTACTGTTGAGGGAATGGACCTACCTGCCTGAAAGAAGCAGAACCGATGCTGTAGAGATACATTCTGGTTTTATTTCAGCCACATGCATCCTGAAACTGGAGCTGATCTTGCATCCCTGTCCTTCCATCCTGCCTTCAGGATCGGTGGACTTGGTCCCTCCACTCACGCTGTGTCCTGACTGCTCGGCTGCATGTCGTCCATAAGCACGACACACTGCTGTGATTATGGGATGTATTCTGACGGATGAGCGACATTTGTGGTCTTCGACAGAACACATGAGGAACTCTGTCCCTCCTTTAAAACGAGTTCCCCGCCATCCCGTGTAGTGGATGATGCAAAGTTAGGACCCGTGGCAAGCGTGGACTCAGGAAATAGCTCCATCTGTTTGAACTGCATGGTTAGAACTAACTAACAAAGTCAGTACAAGGTGGAACCTGTGAGACATGACAGGTACAGATCTGTAGACCCTGAATATTTGTCTTGTGAATGCTGTCGTGTTAACCAGCTAAACACTTTACATGTTCTGTTAACTCACCCGTAATAGTTTTTATTCATGTTGTGTCTTTGTCCAGGTCCTGGATCACTACGAGAGGGAAGGTTTCAGCTTCCTGTCCAAGGTTTTTAATTCCTCCCACTCGTTCCTTGAAGACCTGACAGGGCTGACGCTGCTGCACCAGGAGACGCAGGCTGCAGAGGTAAACCATCCCCTCATAGGGTCAGGGTCCGGTAGAGACAGAACCTGCTGCTCTCATCCATCTGGCAGCAGTTGTGGTGGACATCAGGGGTGCTGATGCCATAACTGCAAACGTTTGTACATCACACCATCAGTAGAATGGTACCTTTGGGTGCAGCCGAGTAGCTACCAGTGTCTGGGTTCGCTATAAATCTGGTCCTATGGATGCATCCAGAGCTGCTGCTGCACCTACAGACATGTTCATGAGTTTATGCCTCATATTCAGACTTCATCAGTGAAGAAGGTCATGANAGGGTTTAGATTTGGGTTTAGGGTTTGGGTTAGGCTTAGAGTTTAGGTTAGGCGTAGGCTCAGGGTTTAGGTTAGGCTCAGGGTTTAGGGTTTGGGTTAGGCTTCGGGTTTGGACTCTACTCGTAGAACAAGACACGTTTGTGCTTTTCTTTCCACATGCTGCAGACATGTCTGCCTTGTACAGCTGCCACAGAGCGGTTACGACACACACTTTGTGGGCTGTTTCTCTGAAACACCGTCAGGCCTCAGGGCCGACACTAATGAGTCAGTATGGGCTGGTGGGTTTCTAAGGCCAGGGTCTAACCTGACGGGATGATCACACGCGTTAACAGAGGAAGTTAAAGCCACTGAGTCACCAGGAACTGTTTACTCATAGTCCTCAGAATACACGAAGGGTCACGTTATGGCGAAACCACCAACTGGGCCCCGATTCAAGGAAACATTTTGTTCATAGTTGTGCCTGAGTCAAAAATTCAGCCATTCAGTGTTAACAATAGCAGAAACCACTAATTAGTTAATTATTATCCAGTTTGTGACTTATTTTCTGCTTAAAATGCCCCAAAATAGTGAAAGCAAAGTCCATCCATGTTGCTCAGATAGCCAGTCTTGGCTGGAGCAAAACCAAATATATGAACTTTGCTTTCATAGAAATTGGCCAGCATGAAGAACTGAGAAGTTGGAACCAAATTATTTGAGGAATGTTTGCTCAAGAAGTGACTGATGAATGAATAATGCATCACGAGAACTGTCAGAGTATAAATTTCCACTGATGGACAAATCAATTATTCAACTAATTGCCTCTAAAGTTAATCATTCTTTTTATATTAAGTTTCCTCCTTACGTCCTTGCTGCTGCTGCTGCTGCCAGTAAAGCTACATATTCTGCATTCTCACATAGCTACCAGCTATACTTTATTGCATGTTCTAAACATCTCCCATGTACACTTTAAAGCAGTCAGTCCTCCATATTCTTCATGTTTACAACCAGAGTAGAAGCCACCAGACCACCCAGTGTTTGATATGTTTAGATGTGAGCACACGTGTCCGCAGCAGCCTGTAGGGTGACACCTTCATGTCTTCAGACAGAAGACATCACCACTGGAGTAAAACTCACGACACATTTATGTGGCTTCATACGGGAGGAAGTTCCAGGACAAGTGCATCTGGACACGTGTGTGCTACTATGCATATGTGTACCACCTGATCTGATCCAGATGTTGGTTTGCTGGTGTGCTGCAGCAGCATCAACCCCTCTACGGCTGATGAACACTTGGAGACCTTTTCCTTCTTCTCGCTCTCTTCCTGCGCGCCCACATACGCTCCAGTCTTTTATAGCATATTTCCCACAGTGCTCCTGCCACTGTGGGATGTCTGTCACAGCAGCGTTTGAATTAGTCATACATTACAGTGTTCAAGGCTGCAAAGTGTCTCAGTGGTTAGCACCGTGGCCTCACAGCTAGAAGGTC